ATTTGCTATAGCTAGGTGTTTTTTTTTTGTTTTTTTTGCACCTTACAGTAACCGCATATGGCCTGAGAACTACATACAGAGCATGCCTGAAGGGCAATTGTATACTATAAGTTCAACATGTCCTGGTGTGACTTGGGTGTTCTGAGAAGAATGGAAATGATCAGAGGAAGCTACAGTGATTAAAATGGTATTTTACCTCAGACTTCTCATCATATATGTCAGAGAAGGAACAAGAAGCTCGATATCATTCCTGTTCGCTCTATATTCTCACCACATTGTAATCCATTCTAAGACTGTATCCCCCCACAGTTTGAGGGATAGAAAATGTGCAATGAGAAGTAATGGGATAGGGCCATAAATATTTGTAATTTTCCATCGCAACACAATTACCCTGCTGGGTCATATATGTACAAGTATATGATCACGCTTAACATACACCAATGTTCATGCACGCACACACAAAATTATTTGAACATCTGATTTAAAGAAAATAAATTCTGGATTCAATTTTAAATGCACAAAAGTTTACAAGTAGAATGAAGAAGAAGAAGAAGAGGAGTGAGATAATGGTCAAGGCATTGTTGTAAACCTGGGAGAAAGACTGATTTTTAGGTACGGCATCTTGCAAATACATAAACAACCTGGTCCCCTAAATAGAAAGGATTGTCCTGTTTGCCCTGCTGTGTATTTATTACCCACTATTTGATAGAAGTTTTTTTTTTTGAAAGAAAGAAAAAGTTTGAATATATCAGTACTACAAGTGCATCTCACAAAACAGGGCAGCAGAGCAGTTCTTCAGTCTTTTTTAAGCTGAAGAAATTAGCCTCACATTTCCCCCTCGGATTAATGTTTGTTTTATGTTTTTGCATTTTAGGATCAAAAAACTCAGTCCCCAATCCTTGCCCCCCAAATTCACCCTCCTTGTTCAGGATACATCTATTTCCTTGCAATTATTTGTCCCCATCCACAAAGACCTTCCCTGGGGTTTTCAGCCCACCTTTGTCCATCTTTACGGTTCCTCTGCCTGCTGGGCTAACTTTTCATGGAAATGGTAATTTAAATTAGTACTGTAGGTAGACAAAAGCTTTCCTTTAATGAATACATTAGACCAGAGTTCCTCTAAAAGCTGCAAGCACAGATTTTCCTTGTTTACCAAAATTATAAAAAAAGGAAAGAACTGCTTACTGCGACTTTATGGTATGGAAAATATGATTTTTGTAAATGCAAGTGGGAGTTAAAAGGAAATCTAATGGCGTTAAGCTTTCATCACCCACTTAATGTAATGTTGGGCTGGCATAGAAATATAACATACAAATATTTTAAATTATATATAGCAGAGATTTCTGTAAAGTGCCCACGGCACATTTCTAAGTTTAATGCTCTCAACAGAAGCAAATAAGGCAAAATGTTCTGTCTGGAATTGATAAAATGTGCTATTGGCAGGTAATAAATAAGACTGAATGTCTTATAAATGAAAAAGACCAGTTAGTGGCACAGTGTCTGGTTCAGGCATAATGCTGAACCATTATTCAATGTTATGTGTGCAGGCTAGCTTACCCTCTCTCCTCCTCCATTATGGCCATTAGGAGATCCAGCTAACCAAAGTTTGACATGTCGTCTGAACTGGGAACTGTGGTTAGTTTTGGTTATGGTTTGTATGGTTTATATGAATCGTAGAACTGTAGAATTGAAAGGGACTCCAAAGGTCATCTGGCCAAAATCCCTGCAATGCAGGAATGAGCAAAACAGAGTCCTACATTGCATTTTGAGGTCGGTCTGTTTGTAAAAGCTAAAGCTAACTACAGTTTATCCAAGTTTGGACACAAGGAACTGTGGGTAGCTAAAAACAGAAGGGACTGCTTTTGATCAGTAGTGGTGCCCACCCTGTGGGATGCCCTTCCATCAGATGCCAAGGAAATAAACAACTATCTGACTTTTAGAAGACATCTGAAGGCAGCCCTGTTTAGGGAAGCTTTTAATGTCTGATATAATTATTATTATATCAGATCGTGAAGCTGAGGCCCCAGTACTTTGGCCACCTCATGAGAAGAGAAGACTCCCTGGAGAAGACACTGATGCTGGGAAAGATGGAGGGCACAAGGAGAAGGGGGCGACAGAGGACGAGATGGTTGGATAGTGTTTTCGAGGTTACCAGCATGAGTTTGACCAAACTGCGGGAGGTAGTGGAGAACAGAGGTGCCTGGCGTGCTCTGGTCCATGGGGTCACGAAGAGTCGTACACGACTAAACGACTAAACAACAAATAATAATAATAATAATAATAATAATAATAATAATAATAATAATAATAATTTGTTTATACCCCACCCATCTGGCTGGGTTTCCCCAGCTACTCTGGGCGGCTTCCAACTGAATATTAAAAACAATACAGCATCAGACATTAAAAACTTCCCTAAACAGGGCCGCCTTCAGTTGTCTTTTAAAAGTTGGGAGCCGCCCAGAGTGGCTGGGGAAACCCAGCCAGATGGGTGGGTATGTATGTATGTATGTATGTATGTATTTATTTCCTGCTGGTGGTGGTGAGGGGACCATATTTGCCAAAGGCTTGTACATATAATGCTAATCTATGAACTACCCAGTAATGGAGCTGTGTTTGTTTATGTGGAAAAGAGCACTCTATGTCCATGTCAGGAGTCCCAGTTTCTGACTTGATAACACAGCAAGCATGGTTAATTAAAAAGGAAGATTTATTGCAAAACACAGAGTTCTCTGGATGGCTCTAACATGCCACCAGTCTTATCCATCATGATGACCCTTCTAAAGAGTCCTTCCTCTTCTGCCAACATAAACGGAACCTATGACCCTTTTGTTTCTGATTCTTTTTCCTGTCATACATCCCCCCCCCCAGCGACGACTGCGCGGGCTCATTGGATACCCTCCAACTTCTTCCTGAGAAGACAAACTGTCAATCTTCTCTCCCATGTCTTTTTCCTCCCCATGAGAGTCCTGTCTGAGATCCTGCTCATTTGAGATTGTTCCCTTGGCAACCTGCATTCCACGGGGCTGTGACGTTACCCCTGTCTGATGTGAACTCAGTTCAGCCTGTGTGTGATCTGCCTCTCTCTGTTCTTCAGCAGGCTGCAACCTTTCACTTGGAGCTGTCTCAGTCCTGACAGTCCATTTGCCTAGTTCAGGAAGACTGGAACTTGGGGAAAAAGCTGCTTCAACAGTGAAGCATCTCAGCCTTGAACCTTACGCAGGAACTTGAGGTTCTACCTCTTTCTGATTCTCAGTCAGATCCTGATCTTCATGGGTGCTTCCATGCACTTCACCCTCCTCCCAAGTAGTCTCATGTGCCACTAGCTGGACACTTTGAAAGCAGCACTGAAACATCTTGGGTGAATGGGAGACATATCCTTATCCAAGGAGACCTCAGGTTCTAAGACTAGGCAGAGCTGAACTCTGACAGAATAGACACAGGAGTCCTTGGAGGATATCTGGATTTGTTTCACTCTTGGTTCAGGTACAGTTTTGGGACTGAATCAGCCTTGGTCACCAAGATGGATATCCTGTAACAAGAGTGGGACAGGGTACCACCTTTTCAGTCTGTTGGTGTCAATGACCATGGTATCCTCCTGGACCGACGTTGTAGGCTGGGTACTGGGGATACAGTTTTACAGTGTCTAGAGAATAACATTAGGGGATTGTCTCTTGGCTCCCTGTTCCTTGTGCTGCGGTGTGCCTCAGGGAACAATCCCATTGTGAATGTTCTTTGACGTCTACATGAAGCCATTGAGAGTCATGTAGAGGAGTTTGGGGGCAAAGGGTGTTCAGTATGCTGATGATAACCAGCTCCATTTCTCCATAACCTCTGAGTCAGGTGAGGCTAAGCATAGTCTGAAACCTTGTCTGGATGCAGTTGTGGAATGGATGAGGGCTGATAAACTGAGCTTAAATCCCAAGAAGACAGAGGCACCGTGGGGGTGTAATTCCAGTGTCTGGGAAGCTGACCGTCTCCCTGCCTTGGCAAATATATTATCCCACTGAAAGAACAGGTGGGGTTGCTCCTGGATCCATCTTTATCAGTTGACGTTCAGGTAGCCTCAGCAGCTGGGAGTGCATTTTACCAACTCTGGCCAACTCTGACAGGAATAGGCTAGATGTGGTGATTCAGGTATCGGTAACCTTGACACCTGATGACTGCAATGTGTGGGGCTACTCTTGTGTCTGGCCTGGAAGCTCCAGCTGGTGCAATATGCTGTTGCTAGACTGTTGAGTGGAACAGACTACTGCCAGCACACAAGTCCAGTCATTAGTAGCTTTCACTGGCTTCCCATATGTTACCAAGCTATGTTCAAGGTTCTTCTGCTAATTTACAAGGCCCTTAACAACTTGGGCCTAGAATATTTTAAGGACCTGTCTGATCACTGCAATCTCTGAGGAGTCTATTGGCGTTCCCCCATGGCTCAGACATACAACTCATAAGTACTAGAAGGCATGGAGTCAGAGTATTGGGTCCAAGCTGGTGAAACTCCCTCCCACTTGTTGAACTTTGGGCGCATGGCTAGGACTTCCTTGTTCCAGCAGGCATATGAAGGTAATATTTGGTTTTAGGATAAATTTTGAAAGCTTTGTTGTCCCATTTTCTGTGGATTGTTTTTCTGTACACCACCTAGCAATGTGAATAATTAAGTGGTATATAAATGTCATTAATAATAAAGAAATAAACCTTCTGAAATCCAAATTCTGTGTTGTGCCTGTATGGCATGTTAATTTGTCAGCTGTTAACTAGTAGACTATGTTAGCATGTTTTTATTATGAAAGATGTTGAGGTTATTTTAGTGACAGCTGAACAGTAACCAACAATAAATGATTCTTTCTCTCTCTAAAATATTTTCAGCACAATTGCTTTGTGGAAAAGGAACAAAATGATCACACATATTTATTTAATGCACAATGTATTTTTTATTTAGAACTTCATACAATGCAGAATGCATTTGATTTTAGTTTAGTTCCAATTAACATTAATTAATATATTTATCATTTGATGTAGCACTGGCATCCCCAAGGTGGTTCTCGAGATAACTCAGTTAATTTGAGATATCGAAAGGTTGATCTGAAGTACGTTGTCAGGGTAATGTTCACCCAGTCTGGAGTCTTCTCAGAGCTAAGCTGCCCAAGCCTCTGAGTCAGACGTTGCTTCCATTTCTGTCAAAAAAGGAAAATCACCATCAATCAACAGAGTCCAAGCGATATATTTTTTAGCAGTGTGGACATTCCCATCTTGAATTAACAACAACAACAAAACCCCCCAGTCAAATAATTTGTTGGAATGGGTATGGAATATTTACAATGCTGTATACAATTCTAATTTTTGTCTCTACACCTACAAACAGCATAAAATTGGTAATTCTTTCAGTTTTTTACACACAGTTGCAAATCCAAACTGAAAGAAGCAAAGAAAGAGGCAAGTGCTAAAAAGAATTTTTTTTAATCAAATAATAATGCTATTTTTGGTAAAGAAAACTTCTGCAGGGATATGTGGGTTATCCTATTAAGGCAACATGCTAAATATCAGTTCAGTCAACCAAGCAACTACATCCAGCTCTGAACTGTGAAATACTAATGAGCAGATAACCCAATGGTGTGGTGGATTTGAATGTCACACGTACATTTTTTGTTTTTACATATTTTTTATTGATGATTTCTTGGTTTACAAAAGTATGTGCAATGTCTCTTTTCTCAAGTTACATTTTCTACAGGCACACATATGTTTGAACTAACCAGCCTCTTCAAGAACGAGAAGGGAGGCAAACCCTGGACAGGGCCACTCAGTAACGAGAGTGACATTGCACCAGCTGTCTGCATTAATGGTACAAAGCCTCACTTCTCCCTTCCTCCTTCCATTGCAGTGGCAGTCAGCTTTGCCTTATGAAAGGCACAGCTGTGATCCCAGTTGAAGGGGGTATATGGCCATCCACCTCTCTCTTAAAAGACTCTCTGCTTCGGACATGCATTCTGCTCACAGAGACACATTTGCAGCCTTAGTAATGGTAGAAAGTAGAGAGTCCTGAACTTTCAAGCTGAGAGATGCATAGCAGATCAATGACAACACAATTATCATTGTCCCCTCCCAATTTTGTGTAGTTGGGAATTAGGCATGGACAGGTAGCCTTGGCACTTCTGCATGTGGACAAACCAAGGCCTATTCTGTTCCATTCTCACCGAAAATTTCATCCCCTAATATTTGTTGAAGGCTACTTACAACTTTACAGGCTGCTCTGAAGGCTGCCTTTAAAGCTTAAAAGACTGCCCCAATTCCAGATAAAAACCAGTTTAAGTGGCTAGAAGGTGTTGCTGCCACCATGACTAGTGCCTGGCAATTCCATCCACGGCTACAAGTGCCTCTGGGAGGGATGTGATGTGGTGCTGTGCCATTTTTTCCCTAGGGAAGTGGTATGGAGAATGTAGTTTCCAAATTTAACTGACCTCTATCACCTCTATCACACCTATCCGTCAAAGACCAGGAACGCAAAAGCTCTGTAGTGGTTGATGCCTGTTCTTGATTGGGCATCTGGGCTTCATTACTCATTTCACCGTCATTGTTTCCGCAGAGTCCGCAGGTTTTACCTCTCATGGTGGAAGCGACTGTAATCTGCATGGATAATGGATATTTACTGTAGAAGCTTGTGTTTGTATCCTTACAAGGCAGTGCATTAAAGGAATGGAGCAAGAAATCCTAGCACAAAAAGCAGCAGGCTGTCAGACTTACCATCAGAGTTTCGCCATCGTACGTCACATTCACTAGGCCTATCAGTGGTGCCTCAATAGCAACAGTGGTCTCATTTTTACACATTTTAACGTGCGCTGTGGAGAGATGGGATAGTTTAAAATGGCTTACCAATTATTTCAAGAGCAAGAGCATGTTTCAGCAGTGTACATAGAAATGTGCACATTTCGTTCATTCGTTTTACATTACTTTTTGAGTCTTGCCTACAGAATGGGACCAGAGACACAGCAATTTTCGCTGCGAGATTCTGTGACATCAGCTTGTATTGACTACCGTGCACAGAAATTTTAATCAAATTTATGGGTAGGATACTCAGCTAACCCATCACACCTTTACTGATCAAGGCTTACTAACTTATTTTCAATGTTTACTTTCTTTCATTATTATGCGGGGTGGGTGTGTCCCAAGTTATTCAAGGTTGTTGTTTTTTTAAATAAAATTGATTACCAACACATAACCAATAGTCAGAGTACATGGATTTAAGTTGACTCAGGTGAATGGAACTGTGTTGTGATTTAAGAAAAAGCGTAATATCAGATGCAGTACCTTTCTCATCCTCAAACTCCTTTTTGTCAAGCAGGACCCGATTCTCATTGTATAACAAAGAAAGCTTATTCATGGTAGGTAAGATTCTGATATAACTTCTGATCCTGGGGGGGGGGGAATACTTTTTGTTAGAAGGTGGAAAAACTGATATTAACAATCAGTGTGAAGCAGCCCATCTTTCTCCCATAGTTGTCATTTACGAGTGCACTGCAAAACTGCACCAATTCCCCCCTGAGGCTCCTCATGCTGCCTGTGGTTTGAAAGGAAGTAGGTTCACATTAAATTTGAAACCAAATGCATTTCTTCCCCCAATATTGGTTGCTATAGACCCCTCAAGGCATCAGCAGCATGGCATGGGATAACTGTGATGTGATTCCATTTAGATCTGAGAAAACTGCACATTTCTGCAGTCTGGGTCCTGTGGCCCAGTTTGCAATTATTTCTAATGCAGTTCCCATTAAAGGGGGGAAATGAAAATACAGTGGTGCCTCGGGTTACAGACGCTTCAGGTTATAGATGCTTCAGGTTACAGACTCTGCTGACCCAGAAATAGTACCTCGGGGTAAGAACTTTGCTTCAGGATGAGAACAGAAAGCAGCGCAGCAGCAGCGTGAGGCCCCATTAGCTAAAGTGGCATCTCAGGTTAAGAACAGTTTCAGGTTAAGAACGGAACTCCAGAACGAATTAAGTTCTTAACCTGAGGTACCACTGTAAAGGTTAAACCTTTATTTTTTCCTTGTGATTATATTATCTGAAAAAGCTGTGTATTTGTTAAAACTTACTCTGAAGAGATATTGACGTGAACCTCTCCTGGACTATCAGGTCTGGACTTTGATATCCAAACACGGAACCGTGGTTCATAATTTTCATTTTTGTTGCAGTCTTGGACTACCAGAAGGTCACAGGCATGTTTGGTTGTAGTTACATTGAATACCTTGTTATCAAAGGTCATGATCCGTTCGTTGTCCACCTCACATACAGCTGGCAAGATGACACCCCCCAAAAAAAAGAAGTCAGATGCAGCAGTGAACATAAGATAGCCAGAAATATGCAATGTTTAGGCAGATGTTAGACTTAGATTCCATCCCTTGCAGTTCGGATGAATAACCGGGGAAGCCTGTTTGATCAAAAAAGCCTCTCAGTTCGACTAGATCTCAGTTTTTGTCAGACTTTTGCCACTTTTACAAAAGATGCAGGTCAACTAAGCTGGCCCCCGTCAGGCTGCCATTAGGACAGAAGCTTCCATCCAGCCATCTTTACTGGGATACCCTGAGCTATTGTATCTGCCTGAGGATGGAGTAATGCTTGGACTCAACCTACTCTTCAGAAGCTACACCAAGGATTGATCTTCTGCTGACTGCGCTGCCAAGTCCAAGGTGGCTTAACTAGAGCAGCGTTGGACCAGAATGAAGACTTGCTCACTCTGGTCCGTTGCCTAGGCCCCATCTGCCCCTTCAGCCTCTATTGACCAGTTTAATTTAAAGTTGTGGCAGGCAATCCCATTACTCCTTAAAGACTTGCCTGATGTAAGTAAAGTATTAATTTACCTTCACCTCCTTTGGGTGCCCATGACATTAATTCAAATAAATCATATGCCCTTTTTGCTGAAGATTGATAATATGGAGTTTCGAAAGCGGGTAAAGAAAATGGAAAACAGAGGCCATCTCTGTAAAAGGTTTCCTAGAAAACAAAGAATGAATGTATAAGGACCAATGTGGCTGTAGACAAAGCTTGTGTTTTGATTTATCATTTAACTACATAAACTAAAACATATCTTTCTTTCTTTCCCCCCAAATTTTCTAAACCCATAGGGATGCATACTGATTTAAACTCAGCAGTTCTACTCTCACTAGAGGAAGTGGAGATGGTGGTATCTTTGTCGATTCTTCCTTCCCCTTAAAGTTCCCTGTGTCCCCTCAAAATCTTCTCCACAGGTTGGGGACTATTGGGAGGAGCATGAAAAGTAATATAGGCAGCTGCACCGAGAAAATATCTCCCTCCTTTCTCCCTGGATCAAACAGAAGAATCCCTTCTGTTTGTGGCAAGGACACAAACAGAATATGGATCCAACCTACAGATTGCTTCCAGGGGCCTGTTGATTGAGCAATCCTTTTGATTTGTTTGGGGCAAGTTACCGTATTGGCCTGAATATAAGCCTCACTTCTTCTTTTTCCAAATTCCGACTGTGAAATGTTAAAGTGCGGCTTAAATTTGCGACCTTACAAAAAAGGGCTTTTAGTGATATCACTGCTGAAACAGACATACGGTAAAATGGAACGGATGTGAGTGTCTGTGGAATTTTAAAGGAGCGGCTTATATTCGAGTATTGTCTTTTGTTCTCCCCCCCGCCTTTGAATTTTAAAGGTGTGGCTTATATTCGGGCCAATACAGTTTAAGACATTGAATCAAGCAATTGTTATTCCACGCTTTCCAATGCACTTTCACATCACTTTCTTTTTTTGGAAAAAAGTCTGCTTTTAGGGAGTAGGGGGCCTGCTGTGTGTGTACCACCCAAATTTGATGGTATGTGGTTGAATTAAACCTGAAAATATATATTCTCTATACTTGCTGACCACCCAGTTGCTTCCCCGAAGACAAACTACACTTATTTAATAACCCATATTTAATAAAAGAGATAACAAATACATGCCCCGGGAACTCTCAAGATTGTAGCTGTTGTCCATGGAGAGGACTGGACTATTCTGAACAGAATCTGGCGTGAAGGATTCTTCTGATAAACCGCTGTGAAGTATTTCATGTATGCAATACCAGGAATGAGATCCATAACCCTTGATGAAATCAAAACAGGATTTAGTCAGATTTTTTTAAATTAAAAAACCCCCCAATATGTGCGACAATTAGGTTTAATAAGAAATGAGGTAGATGCTATACCAAGCAGCACATTTCTCTAGATAGCGTGGAACCTTTGTCCATTTCATCTCAATTTCGAATGCGTCCCGTTCTGCAACCAGTCCACTGGAAGCCTTTACTCGAATGTTGTAATCTTTGCAGTTGTCACCCCAGCTCAGTTGATTCTTAGGTAGGAAATAAAAAAAAAGTTATTTAATACCATGGGGATGAAAAGCCAATGACCCATTTGGATCCTATCACAATGGCATCTTCATTGCATTGGGAGGGATGCCCCTGTTTTATATGCTGAAAATATTTTTGTTCTATCAATGAGAGAATTTGGGACTGGTCATTTGCTCTGTGTTTTATTATCACAGAATCCAAAGAGTGCTTTAGTAACTGTATTGTAGACCACCGTTAAATTTTTCTTATGAGTTGGCAGTTCATAAACAAGCAATTGGCCAACCTAAATGATCTTGGTAAGGGATATTTAAAGAACTATCTCATCCCTCATGTTGAGATTGGCATAGGTATGGTTTGTGCTTGTGTGGAACACTTTTCTTTTCAAGTTATTGCACCAGGATGCGACAACCTACATTCTAGGAGATGCTTTTTGATTTCTGAAGTTTAGTGAACTATCAACTTTAAGCAGATCTTCTGCCTGTAATAATCTGTGCCCCCTAGCTAGTGTGGGATAATGATTTTTATTATCTTTAAAAATAAGAACTGCTCTGCCTTGATTCTTAATCTATTTGATGTTTATTATTAGTGAAAATTTGTTTTATTGTATTTCAATAGTTTATCACGTGTAGCTTCAGAGAAGCATTGCTGAAAATTGTCTTACAAACCACAAAAATAAATGAAAGCACATTTTAAAAAAATGTTTTGTTTTTTACCTGGAGGTTGTAAGGTTGCACAACACTATCAAGACATGCTCTCCACTTGGTTCTGGCAAGCTCACTTCCAACTATTTTCATCTGGGCTTTGTAGCGGTCATGCTTCATGTACATTGAAAATTTGTAGCCCTGTTCTTTCTTATCACTCCTAACTGCCTCAGCCACAATGGTAACGTAAGGTCGTAGTGAATCGCCATGGTCCTGGTACTGGTCCTGAAAGACAGAAAAACAAAAGGGCACCATTTTAATGCCTATGATGATCAGTTCCCTTCAGCTAGAGTCACATTCACACCATAAATTTCAAGCTCTGTGATAGCACTTTGAACAGTCCTGGCTTTCCCCAAAGACTGTTGGGAACTGTTCATTGTTAAGGGTGCTAAGAGATGTTGGGAGACCCCTAATCCCTTCACTGAGCTACAATTTCCAGCATGGTTTAACAATCAAATCTCTTTGCAGGAAACTTTGGGAACTGTAGCAGGAAGTCTGTGGTTGACACCTTATGTACTTCATGCTGTCTAATCAGATGTCTATCTAGAGGTGTAATTATTTGCCTGCCCCATTCATCTATAAAATGGGAGGGTCCACTTTTAACACTAAAAAGGGTGTGTGGGGAGGGGGAGCTGAACTCTGCTTCCATTTCCTTATGCGCTGCCACCCAGCTTTCTCCCGGTTGATTTGATTTGTACTTCTGAAAATGCTATTGAAAGGGTGAACCAGAGATAGGAAGAGTAACGTTTTCTTAATTATTCAGTAATATTTTTATACCACTTACTTTTAGAAGAGAAAACTTGAAACGTTTTATAAAGATTACACCCCCCCCCGTTAAAAACAGCAACAATATTACAGATGTCACCCAAAGCATAAGGCAAGTGAAACCACATTCATTTGTTTAATCGCAATTAGATTCTAGCCTCCACTGTGACTAGGACAGACACATGAACAAGAATTGTAGCTGTTTTGAAAATGCTTTCTTCTTGTATTTAACAACAACAACAACAACAACAACAACAACAACAACAACAACAACAACTTTAATTATTTATATCCCACTCATCTGGCTGGGTTTCCTCAGCCACTCTGTATGATGGCATACAGTCATTGGAAGTTGAACGTAATCCGTTCTGGAAGTCTGTTCGACTTCCAAAATGTTCAAAAACCAAAGAGCGGCTTCTGATTGGCTGGAAACTCCTGCAGCCAATCAGAAGCTGCGGAAGCCACGTCGGATGTTTGGCTTCCATAGGAACGTCCGAAAGCTGGAGCAGTCACTTTCGTGTTTCGATCGTTCGGGAGCCAAAATGTTCGAGAACTAGGCTGTTCAAAAACGAAGGTACGACTGTATATAAAGCAGACTAAAATATCAAACATTTAAAACTTCCCGTTACAGGGCTGCCTTCAGATCGCAGTTTAAAGAAACACTTAGGAAATCAATAAAGGTAGGGAGAAAAACTGACAACTCTGCTAGCCACTTCCTGTAAATTGACTGAAACCTGGACCTAAGCTAAGGAATGATGCAATGACTTCTTTTTCACTTTTATTAACTTACCTCCCGTGAGAAGCTGCCCCTTCCGCCTTTCTGCTTTCTGTCTCTGCTGCTGCTTCTGGTGTTTCTGGAGTCGCTGCTAGAGCTGCTACTGGATTCGGAGGATGATGATGAACTGCTTGATGCTTGCTGATTTTCACCCCATAATAATAATAATAATAATAAAATGTAAAGAGAAATAAACAGAGAGCATGAGAAGAAGATGACACTGTGATATATAGGACCTGTCACTCACACTATAAGGTGGACTCCCCCCCCCCCGTCTCCAAAGTCCCAAGTGCTTTTCAGACACATGGATGGCTCACAACCTCTTTGCAGACAGTAGCCACAGATGCTTCTTCTGGAATGCCCACCCTAAAGCGTTACGAAGCCAGCTCTATTTGCAAAGCCAACTCAGATGTTGCAAAGTCACACAGGCTATATTCCTAGGCACCGTTTAAAATGGTGCAGAAAAAGTCTCACTGGCGGACTGCCTTTTATTTGGGTGAGTTTGCCCCAAAGAAGGTTGACCTGGATTTCTGCCGTCTTTCTCAGAGAGGAAATCCATTTTTAAAAATCAAGAATATTAAAACTACCTGGTGCTTCACCTGCTGCTTTGCCTTGTGTGCCATGTATTTCGCGTTAGCCAATTCCAGACCTCGCAAGTCCTTCTAAATTCCAAGAAGAAGACGAAGAAGAAGACAAAGACAAAGAAGAAGAAGAAGGGGGGAAAGGTAAATCAAATGCACTCTGGTAAATGGAGGAACAATTCGGCAGTTGTTTCATAGAAAGCACTTACTGAAGGTCTCTTGCCGCTGCTAATGTGGCTGTCCTTAACATGCTTCTGTTTGCTTGGGCGGCCCTTGGATTGTTTCTTGTTGCTCCTGCTGTCGCTGCTGCTGCTGTCACTGCTGTCACTGCTGTCACTGCTGCTGCTGCTGCTGCTGTCGCTGCTGTCACTGCTGCTGCTGCTGTCGCTGCTGTCGCTGCTGCTGCTGCTGTCACTGCTGCTGCTGCTGTCGCTGCTACTACTGCTGCTGTCGCTGCTGCTGCTGCTGTCACTGCTGTCACTGCTGCTACTACTACTGCTGCTGTCGCTGCTGCTGCTATCGCTGCTGCTGCTGCTATCGCTGCTACTGCTGCTGCTATCGCTGCTTCTGCTACTGCTGTCACTGCTTCTGCTGCTGCTGTCGCTGCTGCTGCTGCTGTCGTCACTGCTGCTGCTGCTGCTGCTCTTCAAAGAAGTCTTCCTGGGGTGCTTCTGATAACGTTCTTGCTGCTTCATATCTATCATTTCATCGTCATCACGGTCATCCCAATCATTGCTTGAGGTGTCAGAGCTATCACTAGAGCTATCGCTATCACTTTCGCTGGAACTGCTGATGGGCTAATGGGGGAAGTACCCAGAGAAAAACAAACACAGTCATATTAAGTTTTCTAAGCTTGAAAAGAACATTTTGCAGACAAGGTACTTCTTGTCTGGCCAGAGGGGGAAAGCTAATTTGCAGATTCTCATTTACACAGAATTGTTGGCACCCATCTGTCTCAAGAGACAATGGAGTGTGGTTCTGGGGGCAAAAATCTCTGCGCCTGCTGTGGATGCAAAGACAGCTTGTAGCTGCTGCCTCCTACATTGTTGCAGCACCAAAGGGACCTCCGTGGGGCACAAGAAAACGTTTTACACAAATGCATAGGTCACATATACAATCAAGATCAGTCTTCAACTAATTGCTTCCTTAGTTCAAGATATTGGATGCTGTTGGACTAGGATTGCCATACTTCAATAAGAGAAAATCCAGACACAAAAGTTGTTGAGCTTTGCTTTTGCATAATAAAACTGAAATTTTAAAAAATTGAGCTATTTTTGAGCAATTTTTATTTTAACTGATTTATGGAAATTCTGCGTGGACACTATTTTTGGCAAACAAATCCTGGGTATGTCCAGGAAATTCCAGATGTATGGCAGCCCTATGTTGGACTCAAAATCCTAACACCCTTGGCGACTGGCCATGCTAGCTGAGATTGATGGGACTCCGGCAACATCTGGAAGGTCAAGGGTTCCCCACCCTTGAGTTTAACGCCTTAAATGTAATACTGTACACGCCGTCCGAAAGCTAGAACAAATTGTAGAATATAAAACATATGGATAGTAGCCCCTCCCACATGGTGATATGTATTGCTATCAGAAATACCTGAATTCTTCTTAAATGTCTTTCTTCATCTCGCGTCAAACGCACCATTGGTAAACTAGAATGAGCGCCTCCTTGAACAGTCAATCGTAACTTCTCAATGGGTGCTCTTCTCTCAGCTGAAATTATAGAGTTAGTATTAGTGTTACTGCATGGTTTATCTATGCAATAAATCATGGTTTCTGAAACATAGTCAATGGGCGCTTTTGATACATGCAGCCACCAGTTGGGTCCATTGATTTGTATGGCATATGAATGTGTTATGTGACCACCATGCATAATCTGTGGCTTCACTGGTAGGCCTAGTGAAAGACCAGCTTGAGAACTATGGTAGTAAAACTTTAAACCTCAGATTGTTTTGTCACCTGTTCAAGATGGGCAGGGTATAAATAATAATAATAATAATAATAATAATAATAATAATAATAATAATATCTTTGTCATTAAGATGATTTCAATGAGTCTGTTCTAACCAAGCACAAGTCTTTATGGTATGTCTCTGTGTGCACATCTCCTTCTGTATATTTTCCTAGGCTTTCATCCACTGTGGTTCACAGTGCCATTTGCCGACAGATGACACTGAACTACAGCACGACCACAGCCTTTTGTGAGCTGCTCTCCACCACCGCCAGTCCCATATGACACAACCCACACTATCCAGAAGGACTGCCAATTGTCCAGGGAAATATTGCTCCTGTTCTTTTCCCTGAACCCCTCTGCATTTTGTAAAAAACCCCAACACACCCCAACAAACATCATAGAATAAAGAAGAGTTACCTTGCTTGAGTGTTACTCTAAAAGTATGTTCGCCAGCCAAGTTGTACAGAGAGTCATCTATGGAGCACCCAGCATAAATGTTTGACCATTCAACGCAAGCCCTGCATCCAAATGTGCATGCTTCAACACACTCAGTGCGACGAGGGGCAGGCCTGTAATGTTCTGACCGTTCTGCAGAAATTTGGTCCTGGATGGATGATTAACATAGTCCAGCATGAAAGATTGCAATCTCAGACTTCTGCCTCATCATCATCATTATTATTTTGGTAAAGATCAGTAATTCAGTTGGAACACTGCATATATAAAATGCGGCATCTCGACCAATGGTTAAGGGAAGCCCTAATATTTAATTGGGGGGGGGGATACAGGATGATTTCCAGTGCGAAGTAATGTAAGTCCACTGATTTCAATAGGTCTGCTCTAATTTATGTTAGGGTTTTGTGCTCAGCCTTTCAGGACTTAACATATTTAGTTGCAACAATTTACATCCTGCTTCAAGAGTGTAAGTTACATCCACTACACCATTAAAACTACATCCCAGAGCTGTCAGGCACAGTAGGATTTATTCATAGCTAAGTTTATTTAGATCAAGCCCACTATACTTATTTACTTGACATTGAGAACTGCAATTATGTTCTTCATTGACACAATAAGATACCTGTTCTCTACCTATTACACCCCAGTTTTAAATCCCCCCAGAATCCTGAAATAAAATACATGATTAAAGTTCTGATTGTAATGGAAATTTGTCTTTAATTAATAATAAATAAATGCTTTATGGTAGCTATAGTGCTTTATGACTGCTAAATTTATATTTGTACCAGTAGGTCAGTTTTTACACTTCCCTGGGAGTAGGTCTCACTGACCGCAATGTGACTTACTTCTCAGTATATGTGTATAGGACTGAACTGTAAATGTTTTATTGGGGGGGGGGACACATTAAAAATAGCTCACAACTTATTTTCTATGTAAAAGAAACATTTCTCAAGCAAAAAAAAAGTGCACACAAAAATCTAATATGGGTTACCCTTCTTTCATTCCGTTGTTCTGCTGACTCAAAGGAGCCTCTTATTATTTTAGACACAGTTTGAGGGACGAAAAGTGGAGTTGACTTGGTTGCAGGTGCCTCTTCAAGGTTGCGAGTGATAACAGATGTCATAGCACTGTTGGATAAACAGAGGGAGAAATGCTGTGTTAGAAGCACAAATATGTTAAAAAAGATCTGGGTTGTGCCTTGTAGTATGGACTTGATCACACATGGAGTTCCTTGCAAATTGCTCTATAAATTGTACCTAGGCAACCTAAATGCCTAGGTACAATTTTGACTAGGCAAAAATGACTAGGCAGCCATGACTAGTCATCTTTTAAAACAAAATCAAGTTAGTGTCATCTATTTTGGGTGGCCATTTTCAGACTTCAACTATTTCATGCTCACTGCTCCTAATTTTCTGCTAAAGTTAAAAACATAACAAACAAACAATGCACAAGCCACTGACATAGTTTCAATCCCAGCTTTGGGATTTAATCAATATCCTAGCTGCTAAAGTGATGGGTTTCTGTTCTGTCTGGGACACTGCCGTAGAAAGGACACACTTCAAAATATAAGGAAGTCAAAAGCTCTGGTACAATGATATGTTTTCCATGGGGCAGTTAGACGCAAAGGTATTTCCTGTGTCGTAGGATCTCTGTTAAAAACGTAGCCCTTGTCATGGGTTACTTGTGTGCAATGAGCAAGCACGGTGAAAGGGGTTGTGGGGCATGTTCCGTCCTGCCCCCAATTTGGTGTGTCATTTAGAACAGTGGACAAAAAAAAAAAAAGAACAAAGGAAACCATTCAGGGGAGAAAATCTTAATTGATCAATCTATCATTAAGTTAAAGCCACAAATCTCAATAGCAAAAACATTACGTTGTTATTTCTGGTGCATAGAAATATAGCTAGGATATTTTACCATGGTGGAGAGGCTGAACCTTCATTCTGCAGCTGTGATGTTTACTGGATTAGCTTAGCCTAACTCACTGGCTCATTATTCACATAAAATAAGTAAAACTATTGCTATGAATGTGATCAGGTGATATTACAATATCATTCCTTTGAGTCAGCCAGCTGACACGAGCAATTTGCTTCCAAGCAAACTACTGCTTTTCCACATCCCACAGATTAACTCAGAAGCAAGTCTTACTAAATCCAGTGAGTTTGATTCCAAGTGAGGTAGGCATGAAGATTGCATCCTGTGCTGTAAAACACTAGCAGTATATTTACTCAACAGAATTTTAACAAACTTATCTCTAAGCTGCTGGTAGTCCAATCATATTTATGATGTAGGCATTACATTTCTAACTACATGGCTTCAAAATGCATTAAAACACACACACACACACACACACACACACATGTTCCATTGTTAGTATTTCACGGAAGCAACTGATATTGTCGCCTGGGGGTTGTTTTGCGAACACAGATGGGTGGAAGTGAACTGAGAGGTGGTCGGTGTTCCCATGTTGAGAATAATGGGCTTCACACTCTGTGAGGGAAGCCTAAGAACACCTAATCTACTTTATTTGAAAGGCGGATTTGCATTCCTTTTATCTTTCTCTCTCTTCCTCTTGTCGGTGCCTGCAGTGCTGAGGGTACTGTAGAGAACATGCAAGTTGTGCTTCACATGGAGCACTTCAGTCAAGTCAAAATAAATAAATGACACCTTATCACCCACAGGCTTTGTTTTCTGTTCAAGTTCTCTGTTTCAGATAAAGGGCATGACAGCTGCACCCCACACCAAGCTTAGCTAGAACCTTCAGAAATTATTTATTTATTTTTATTAAGAAAAGGGACAAAAAATATTCTCACAGACAAGCCGAGGGGATGAAAGAAATTACAAATCAACTTGCATTTTAAGATGGCTCATCTGGGCAGAATAGATTAAAAGGAAGTGGCTTTCACTTGATTCACATTTAATAATTTAAACCGTCACCAAACTACGGTTTGTATCTCCAGGCAGAAATAGTTGGCATCACTCCCCCACCCTAATCTTTCTCTCAGTACTGTTTTTTTTTTTAAACCCAATAGTCTACATTTGCCACTGAACTGAATGATCAGTTCTTCCCCACTGAACATAAGGGAGAGCCAATAAATTTAGTGGCAACACAGGTGCCACATATTGTTTTCTGCAAAAATCAGCTGCCTGATCCAGCTCTAGCAGGGTACAGGGAGCCACAACAAATCATGTGATTGGGCAGAAGGCTCCTTACTCATAAGTATCTGGTCACTGTTCAATGACTGCAACATCAGCAAATGAGGTTCTTGACTGAGAAGAGCAATCAGAGATCAAATGCCATGAGAACATCTTAAAGCCCACTTTTTTCAAGCAATGGCCACTCCCACCATCAGATCAGAGTGATCAAATGATGTGATACTAAACATCTTCCACTCATTCCTTGTGTTAGGATACTTGCACCACTTCTTAATTAACGACTGAGTAATCAAGGCTAAAGGGGCCAGTCTTCTAACCGATTCTGCCAGACTTATGCATCCATACAAATTCCATATGCCAACATGCAAAATTGTTAGGAGGGATTGGGGAATGTTGGATAATACTGGAGCAAGTAGGAAGGTTTGACAGGGGGGGGGGATTAGGTAGAAGGTACATGTACCAGCATGTGAGGATAAGTAGAAAGTACAAGGACTGTGAGGACAAGAAAAAAATAATAATGCCCTTCAAAATGGAAGTGTCCTTCCTAATGATTTTTATTTGTGCCATTCTATACAATGTATTACCAAAGAAAAAGAAAAATTAAATCTTCTGCCAGCTTTCACCAAAAAGAAAAAGGAAAAACAATTAATCCTCTATGGATGCATAATCAATCACATTTGTGATCAGCCATGCAAATAATTTACATATGTGAAGTGAAGCTATTTTTATTGGCCTTGCTCATAAGTATTTTAAAAACTGGAATGCAGGTAGTACTATGTATATTTTCAACAACTTGTCACTGAACTGTAGGCTATATTTTGGACTATGCATTCTCTGGTAGCTTTCCAATATTTCTGCTTTAATCTTCAGATTTAGGTTTTCCACAAGTTTTATATGCTCATTCTTCCTCTTGATATTATGTAGAAAACTGTAATTTTCAGTTTATTCATTTGTTGGCTCACCAAATAATGCAAAAATACATTGCTTGGTAAGGTTTTGAAATACTTTCTGTTTACATAATTTATGCCATTCGCTTTAACTTTACTAGTACTCAGATTTTTGTGTTTTTTGTGGGTTGTTTTTTTTAATGCCAAAGGCCATTATGAATTCTAATGGGAAGTTTGTCACCCAAATAAACAGACAACAGATACCAATATTGATCTACCTTGCAACACTGTTGTATTGACTGTAAAAGAAAGCCCCAGTATACTTACATGTTAAAGTAACAATTAATAATGTCGTTAGAGATGAGGGAAAAATTGTATAGTATATAAACCTTACAATACGGTTTCAAAAATCCAATTATAGGATTTATTCTGTGCAATCTAATTATCTATGAAAAAGCTTATGTCAAACATTTTAAACATATTTCGTGATCTTCAAGCATTTAAAGCTGATTTTTAATTTAAAGCACTGTCTTTCAACTCTGTCAATCTCAACTTGACACCTCCATAAATTTGATTGGAGTGTTTAACTTTAAAATAAGTCCATTGCACTAGATAATATAAAATAATTAACTCCAGAGATCAAGTACTAATTATAAAATGTATTGCGGGAGAAGGGGGGGAGGGGTGTTCTACCAATTTTCGCTAGCCCTACCTGAAAGACATGAGTTCAGTTTCCTCTCTGCATGGTGGAAGTTCAAGTTTGAAGGTCTTTTCCTTAATGTTCATAGAGATATCAACGTTCACAGGGATATTGGTAACCATTTTGACATTCTCTTGTATTATAGCCTGGAATTCAGGGACAACGATTCCCATCGTCACGAGCATATCTTTGTTCATGCTAAAAATGAAAAAAACCAAACAAACCCATTATAGTGATGTTATGGCAACTATACGTTAAAGAGTTTACGAATACTGAGGGCACATTTGCACCACTTGAATTGCCCTCGTCATTTTATGTACCAGTGATTCTATTTACCTGACAGACAATCTGGTTTTCAGTTTCATATCGATGTTAAGCAAGTCAGGGAAACTCAAATGTGATGTCGGCTCAGGACTCATGGATAACTGAACTGTTTAAAAACAAGCAAATAAAACAAATGCATGCTATAAAATAATTATTATGCAAAATGTGATATATAAAATTGCAATTATTTTGTTTCTATTTTGATATTATTTTGATAAAGGGAAAATTTGCCCTGAGTACTGCTATTTGTCTCACAGTGACTAATGGGGGAAAACTGAAACCCTGGACTGCTTATTTAATCCCTGCCCCCCAGCATCTTTTATTCTAAATATATTTGAAACCCAGTCATTTCCAACTCAATGTGCTCGGGAACACAGTCTTAGGGATACCTCACGTTACATTTTTTGTCCTTATATATTTTTCCTGTACCACTTTAATGAGGTGCTACCATTCTCATGGTAAAACCCAAGACCGGGAGTCCTAGGGAGTCAGCTATATACAGCTGCAAATGAAACGTTTTAAGTGTGTTGTAAAGAGTAATATGGAACGCGGGTGGCGCTGTGGGTAAAAGCCTCAGTGCCTAGGGCTTGCCGATCGAAAGGTCGGCGGTTCGAATCCCCGCAGCGGGGTGCGCTCCCGTTGCTCGGTCCCAGCGCCTGCCAACCTAGCAGTTCGAAAGCACCCCCGGGTGCAAGTAGATAAATAGGGACCGCTTTCTAGCGGGAAGGTAAACGGCGTTTCCGTGTGCGGCTCTGGCTCGCCAGAGCAGCGATGTCACGCTGGCCACGTGACCCGGAAGTGTCTTCGGACAGCGCTGGCCCCCGGCCTCTAGAGTGAGATGGGCGCACAACCCCAGAGTCTGGCAAGACTGGCCCGTACGGGCAGGGGTACCTTTACCTTTAAAGAGTAATATACAAATGTGACTCTAGATGGCGACAGTGAGCTATGGCAAATTTAATGTATTTTTCAAAACTTTTTTTAAAAAAGCATTTTCGTGGCATTTTTTATACGTGTGTAGATACCACCCTAGTTAGTCGCTGTGCTTGGTAGTTGATAAATTTCTATTGCCTCACCGTTTCCATTGACTGATGTGTGAGTAAAATGAACCAAGTTTATTTGAAGTGGAAGTCCAGTGCATGTAGGCACAACACCGTAGATTTCTGCAGATACTAAATTGTTTTCCCACTGCATGTTTGGATGATTTTTAAGGCCATCTGCGGAATCTTTTATCCAGGGGAGAGGCATTTTGCCATGGAATATCTGCAAAGAAAGTTTGTGCTGATTAAACAAAGAGAACGAGAATATCACATGCTTCATGTCACTGTTCCTTTCATAGGTTGCCAGTGCAATAGTAACTGATGCTGAAAAGTTATAATTGCACCCAATCGAATCCTGAAAGCAATCACGTTCAAGAATCTAAAGAAGAAGAAGAAAATATAATTTATATCTAAACAACATGCATGTCAAAAGAAGCACCTGCAATGCATCCTGGATCACATCAGGAGTGAGCTCCACATACGCGATTTCTTGGCGTGCTAATTTGAGATATAGTCCTCCAAATGTTGGGTCGTGTCCTCCTTTTTTCTGATCGAAGGGCTGTGTGATAAGAAATAGAAACGTACTGAAATTTTTATTGTTTTGTTTGTTTATTATTTTAAGAAATGATTGTGTACCCAATTTTTTTGCAACACATGCGTTTGCAATGTTCAGGGTGGCTTAAAACACTCAAACAAAACAACAGGGAAATCTAATGGCGATTAAACAACCAACAACAACAGAATTAAATCGAAGGTGAAACCAAAATGATTGGGGGCGGGGGGAATCAGCTACAAAAGAATTCTCATTCTGGCAGGTCAAATGTCTTCTTGAAGGAAATAAATAAATAAGCTAGGCTGTGAAAAGGAACAAGAGGCACACCCTGAGTTAGGGAATTTCACCATTTGGGTGAAATTCAACCAGGCCTTTGGCCGATTAACATTCTGCAGCCTTTAAAATGTGTTTGGGGGTGACTTATTGCTTTTTTTGTTTCTGTTTTAACTCTTTGTTTGTGCTTTTATCTTCTATTTTCATATTGTGAACTGCCCTGAGATCTTTCAATGAAGGGCGGTGTATAAATCCAATAAATGAATCAATAAATAGATTCAGAAAAGGTAAGCACATCCCAAGCATGTAGCACATCCCAACCAGCCATGCCTTGCTTGGATATGGGTACCAATGGGACACAGAGAAGAGCATCTCTATCAAATTTTATGGACTGAGCATGCTAGTATGGCAGGTATCATGTGCCTAAACAATTTTGGGCCTTAAACAGACATAGCATTTGTAGTAATAACGCATTACGAGGTTTATTATGCTGCCCACTTACCAAGTCATGGAGCCTTCCTTCTGCATATGCCCTTTCAAAAAGGCGAGATAGTCCTATACTCTTAACGCCGACCTGTGTTGAAAGGGGGTGTATGAAACAGTTAAAAGGGCTTTCTATGCTTTACATAAATCAGAGCAGTTTCAGAATATTTTAAACAATTAAGAACTATGTTTCAGTCACTTGCATTTAATACATTTATGAAGGCTGGTTGAGCATGAGTTAACTTAAACCATTATAGGCAAAAGTTGTAATTTGTTAGCAACAACAACAATAATAATAATTTATTATTTATACCCCAGCCACTCTGGGCGGCTCCCAGCCGAATATTAAAAACACAATACAGCATTAAACATTAAAAACTTCCCTAAACAGGGCTGCCCTCAGATGTCTTTTAAAAGTAAGATTGTTGCTTATTGCCTTGACATCTGATGAGAGGGCATTCCACAGGGCGGGCACCACTACCAAGAAGACCTTCTGCCTGGTTCCCTGTAACCTCACTTCTCACAGTGAGGGAACCGGCAGAAGGCCCTTGGAGCTGGACCTCAGCGTCCGGGCTGAATGATGGGGGTGGAGACACCATGTAAGGATGATCTGCCCCCTGCTTTTCAAAGCTTGGTGTATGGAATGCTCATGCTATAGAAACAAGCCAGACTCAAATGATTTTTGTAAGAAAATAAATTCAAGGTCTAACAGTACAGGCCTAATAGAATTTATAATGGACAGCATCTGTTACCTCTACAAGATCAGAGGAGACGCCAAGGATGTTCGCCCTGGTTTTGAACATGGTAAACAATGGGAGGATATTTCCTTCTTTGCCTATGCTGACAACCTCAGCTCTCAAACCAGCCATAAGTCGTTCTGAAAAGGGAGATAAAACAACAAGCAATAAGGCCGGTCAGTTCTTCAAACTGCATAATAATACGAATTTAATTTCCTAATTGTTTAATGTGAAAACAGCATCTTATGAAAAAGCGAAGAAACTCCATGTACAAGACCAGCTGTATAAGAAAAAGAGGCAACTGTGTCTGTGTACTGTGATTTGGGCTTGGCACTCTCTCTACATTTGACCAGTTCTTCTGGAATAGGGAGAGGGAGCAAGACTTTATAGAACATGTTGGAGGAGAGAGTTACAGCTCCATCACAGAGCACTTCCTATGCATATGGAAGGTCACCGATTCTCTGTTATTTCCAGTTGGTTTTTTTTTTAAAAAATGTTGTTATCATGACTGGGAAATATCCCCATCCCTGGTTTAAGTCAATGGGCAGATTCTAGATGTTTCATGGAATTGTAGATCGTAGAGTTGGAAGAGACCCCAAGGGTCATCTAGTCCCACCCCCTGCAATGTCCACACCTCATTGGCCAACAATATCTGGAGGAAGCTATTGCCTATGCCTCGCCTAAAGAAACACAGAAAAGTGACTCTTTTTGTAGTGTGAATAGACACACAAGAAAGATGTTATGACAGACATAGGGCTGTCAAAATGGTAGACCCATGCCTAGCGCTCTCCACCCTTCTCTTATAATGTCTAATGTGACTTTTTTTGTGTGTGATTTATTTCCCTCCTCTATATGACTGCATGACACCAAGCAGGGAGTTTCAATATATCCCCCTCAGCTATGCTAGCTTGAATGCAAAAGTGAAATGCAAGCCATTCTGTTGCTGAACTACTTGTTCTATATGTAGGCTGTCACAAAACAGTGCTGAGATGCGATGAAAGGGAAAGAATATATTTTATATAGCATTTCACCCTCGCTGGAGCTTACTTGATAATTAACTGTTACTGAACAAGGAGTGCCATTTGATTTGGCATTTCAACATGTATTGCTAGACATTTTAAGCTTCCTAAAAGTAATTTGGCACAGCAATCTGTATCTTACCACCTGTCTTTAACAGGACACCATGATACCTCTATGAAAGTTAGCAAAGGTGGCAAATGTCTTTTGGTTTCTTACCATTTTCAGTATGTTATATGTGACTGATGGGAGTTGTGGTTCAGTGGCACCTGGAGGGTACTACATTGGCTACTCCTTCTCTGGAGATACTAATCATAGAATATTAGTAATTTCTAATATATTTTTCATGCCATGATATCAATTTAGCTAATATCTGAATATGGTCATCAACAGTTGCCAGCAGTTTATGCCACTTTAAGCACTCACACTATTGAATCTTGGAAGTATTTGCAAGTTATTCTACTTAAATTTATAGTGCATGAAAAAAACTGAGCAAGGACTAAGGAGATAAATCTCATTCCTTTAACTTTTAAAATAGTATATGACAATAAAGATGCTTTGGAGGGAAGAAAATTTCATATACCATGAAATTATTTTATCTCTTCAAGAGCTCCCTACATATCTCTGTGAAGTAGTAGGTCTGTATATCCTAGTCATGTTCATGGTACTTATTTTTATTATGAAACTGATTTCATGGTCATGTAAAAGTCACGAGGCACAGCAGTAACCTAAGGCACTGTGCAAAAATCTAACTTCGCATTTTCTGAAATTTTCATGAAATATTTGTCATTAGCTTTTCAAGTGTACTAATAAGTTACACAACTATTAAATGAGCCTATATTATTTTTATTAAGTTATGTACGGTATTGAGTTTGTTTGTAGGGTGGTTGTTGTTTAAAAATATTTCCCCAGGGATATGCAGAAAAACTCTAGGATTTTCATGGTTCTTTAAGAATGGAGCCACTTAAATCATATAATGTAAAACTTTGACTTGCCTGAAAATAACATGACATTTGGCCTAGAATACACAAGGTGTGTTATCTTGTTCTCCCTCCAAACAACCAGTAAATGTATCATTGGTGTTACATTATTAATAGGAGGATGAAGTTAAAAAAAATTACAGTGGTACCTCGGTTTTCGAATGTAATCCATTCCGGAAGACTGTCCGAGTTCCGAAACGTTCGAAAACCAAAAACTCAAAACCGAAAACTCAACACAGAAAAATCAATACAGAAGTCGCGTTTCATGTTCGACTTCCGAGGCGTGTTCAAAAACCTAAGCATTTACTTCCGGGTTTACGGTGTTCGAAAACTGAAATGTTTGTCAATGGAGACGTTCGAAAACCGAGGTACCACTGTATAACATAGGTTTGTGGCATAAAAAGCCAATGTACCATTCCTCCCCTTCCTTAAAATATGAATCAAAATGCTTATAGGTTCTAGTTTAGGGATGAGAGGACATTTTGGTTTTGCAGACTGCGCAAATGCATACTTTCCTCCCCAGGTCTTTCCCTGTGCTTTCTGAGCTAGTCACATGACAAGACATGGCTGATTTCTTTCTGGTTCTTGAAACAAACAGCTTTTACTCTTGAAACAACAGGTTCATCTTTTTAATATTTTAAGCAATCACTATTATTCTGGGAGGAATAAATAGTATCTGGGGAAAAAACACGCGTCTCTTACCACTGTGAAGACCAAAGAAGTAAACCATGCTGTGGCGATAGCTAGGCCGTTGAATCTTGATGCTCAGTACTTTAAGTGCCACTCTGCAGGCAGAAGCCCTGAATAAAGAAAATTAACCAACAATGTTCACATTTACTACTGCTGTTTGTTGTGCACTGCTCCTTTCATAAAGAAATCATTTTTTTTTAAATGATGCTTACATCTCTTGGCAGTCAGGAGCTCTGCAAGTGGCCGCTTCACGTATAAGAGTTAACAGGAAATATTTCACTTCTGACATGGGTGTCTCTGATGCATAATTAGTCATTGCCATCAATGAAGGGAGAGCTGGTAGGGATTCCATATAAACCATGGCAGCACATTTACGAGTTACGGGTTCTATCCTGTTGTCCATGACGATTGGAACAGTAAGTGCTTCCACCTGTGCAACATAGATTGAAAATATAAATTTTGCACTCTTATTTTTCTCCTTCCCACAATGACTTTGGCTCACAGCTCAAAAAGCTTGTACATGCTAAGCGGGCATTTTGTCGCTTCTTCTTTGAACCACGGCAGCCAGCCCCAACATCCACAGCATACAAAATTCAGTGGCTTGCAATATTATGTAAGGGACTTCTGTTAAAACAAGATGGAGTTTTTCAAGCAATTATCTGCAATGTAACTTTCCTGGTTCCTGCTTTTCAGAATAACATGCCCAGGGAAGATTTAGGCCCTTCTCCTTCTCTGCGTTTAGAGAACAGAGCCTCTAAAGGCCGGCTCCTAGAAATATCTGCCACTTAAGAAAAAGCAAAGCGATATTTGCTGTTGATGTGTTTTTGCTTGTACAGAAGAAAGACACATTTCGACTGGATAAAGCACCCATTGGCGATGTGAGTGACTTGCACATCATCTGCTGCCTCAACTGTTTAAAGCAATATATCACACACCGCTCTCTCACTGTAAACCCCCCCCCATGAGTTTCAATTCTGTGCATAATGGTATACATATCTACACAGACAGGGGCTGAGTCATCCCCCGCTTGGACGTTCATTCCCTACCTGTCCCTAATGCAACTGGTCTTTGAGAAATAATGTATCACCATGATCAATTAGCATTAGAAAAAAAGATATTCCTAATAGCTCTATAATGTTGTTGAAAACCCCCCACAAGATCCCCACAAAAATGCCATGCCTTCTTACCCGTGCAGGATACTTCTCAACAAGGCCTCTTAGAGCTAAGATGGCAGCGCAAGGATGCAGGGAGTCAGGAGAAGAAATGAGAGCTGCAAAGGTCTTCATGATGGGCTTCTCAATGATGACATGTCCCACATTTGCTAAGGCCTTCAGTACCAGCATTTGTCCATCTATGTCGGATGTACGTTTTGCTTTAATTGCAAAATCATTCAAAGGCTGTTTTAGGGGGAAAAAAAGTGGTTTCAAAATTAGTTGCAGAATAGTTGCTTTAAAAAAGATATGATTTGAATCTTGAATTGATATTGGGGACAGCTTTATGAACAGCCTGTGATCTCAAGTTAGACATGAGTAGGTTTGACAGGGGTTGTCCATCAGCATCTCCTATGTTGCAGGTCTCAATAAACTCGGCCAAGTACCATATACATAGCCAGGGCAGGTCTTTCAGAATAGGAGGTCTTATGCACTTTTAATAGGGCATCCCCTTCAATAGTCTTTCCGAGGCATTCTGCATTAGCTGTAGGTTCTGGACCAACCTAAATATAGCACCTCACAGAGTGCGTTGCAGGAATTCAATATGGATGTCATGAATGCCTGGTCTACCATATCAAAGCCATCCCAAAGCAGGAACAGCCAGAAATATTGCACCAGCTCTAATGAAGAAGATGGATACAGGAGCAACCCCCCCCCAAAGCTCTTTCAGAGGAAGTACAAGCCCATCCAGAACAAGCTGCACCTCCTTGACTAATACAAAGATCAGGACATAACTATGCTTTGGATATCACATTTCTCAAAATATTTTTTTACAAATTTTGGCTCAAAAAATGATGATTTTAGGTTGGAATACGTACATTAAAATGGAATGGATATTTAAAAATGCATTAAATATTTAAATATTATTTGTGTGGATATTTTTTAATCAAATAATAATGTGGAAGCAGGATGGAAAGGACATAGAAAGTGACGCACGCAGAATTGCCATGGACCAGAAATAGACTGACCTGACCATGCTTAATGTTAAGATAACCTGGAACAAATGACTAGATATGTGTTGCTATTGCTTTCAGTGAGGAGTGAATGATACTCAGTTTAAACATTTTCAGAGAATTTACAGTAATAATTACAGGTACTTTATGTAGTATTATACGATTATTTGAATGATAGATTAAACAAATAATATGTAAAGATTCTGAGAACTGCTGAGACAAGTATACCTTGGTAGTGTAGTGCTAAGAATAATTCCCTCCACACCTTATTTTTATTTCAAATTGAAGACAGTAATCCTGAACTCACTGAACCCAGCAGCAAAAAATCTCATTCTTTTCAATGTGTTGCAATTTCCTCTAAAGACTGTGCTCAACACATGCATCTTAACTTGTAGGCTGATAATAATAGGCCAACTTAAGCACCTTATATTGTTATTCTTTAAATGATGAAATGTCATTGAAACATGGCACAATACCTTGATGTATTTGTCAGGGCAAGTTTCTGAGGAAGAACAGTATTTTTTAACAACAGTTCCATAGGCAAGGCAGGTAAAGCTGCGGTAGAAACTTCTGGGGCCTTTGAGGGCATCTGTCACAATTGCCTATTGAGAGAAAAGTTGGTCATTGAAACATACAGAAAACAAATTATTCATCTCATTTTAACATATGCATCAATTAAATCAGGTCTGAATGCATTTCAGACTAAACGAGAGAAAATAGCCCAAAGCATAACAATTGCTGGGAGTGTATAAAGTGATTGATAGTGTTCCAAGAGTTTCAAATGTATATCATCTCAGTAGTTTTTACAACTGTTTATACATAATGGGCTTGCCAAGGGAGAAGTAATGGCTCATCACAGCAGAGGTAAAAATTGAACTGGGGAACTCCAGCTCAGTTTCATAGCCTATAAGAACACTAGCCTTCAGGAGGCCAACAATTTCTCAGAGACTTGACTAAATGGGTTGTCTCCAACTAAGTCAAACTCAGAGTAGAACCATTAAATGCACTTCATTTCATCATGATGAACTTGTCCAGTGATTTCAGTGGCTCTATCTGGGTATGACAATAACACCCAATAAAATTAACTTAAGTACAAATAGCATCCTTGATGCCCACAGCATTTCAGAGACCTGCGTTAAGAGGAACCCATAAGATGGGCCTTCAGAGCTATCAATCATCTGCACTGCAACAATAATAGCCATAGCCATAGGATCTTGGTCTGCTTGCCAAAGGAACTGCCATTTTAAAAGGACCATACATATAGGTTAGATTTTATTTGCCTCATACTCTCCTTTGTATATTGACCTAGTCTGTATTTCCTCCGCTATGAATTTAAAGTTAAATATTAATAGGGGTTTTTTTTGGTCTGGCAGATGTGTGGTTACACAGCTCTGCTACCTGATATTGAGGGATAGCCAATAAAATCAAGGAGTGTGGTGGAGTCTCCGTCTTTGGAGGTCTTTAAGCAGAGGCTTGACAACCATATGTCAGGAGTGCTCTGATGGTGTTTCCTGCTTGGCAGGGGGTTGGACTCGATGGCCCTTGTGGTCTCTTCCAACTCTATGATTCTATGATTCTATGAAATCATACTTAGAATAGACCCACTCTGTGTGGAGCAAAATTACTTCTGTCTGACTTCAGTGGGTCTGCTTTGTGTATCAGTAGCTTTGGGTATCACTTATTATTCAGGATTTGTTTGGGTTTAAGTGGCTTGTGGCACTTGGGGAGAGGATGGATGTCTGAGGTGATTACCAAACTGGTGTGTTTCAGGGTTTTAAAAACTGTTGCCCCCATGGGAATTGTCTCCTCTTGGGACTTGGCCAGAGCTGCTCAAAGGCATGGAAAACAAGAACTTAGATCAAGAAAAGCCAACATGGTGCCCTCCACATGTTGATGGACTCCAGCTCCTATTAGTCCTAGCCAGCATGGCTGGTGGTCAGGGATGGTGGGAGTTGCAGCCCAGCAACATCTGGAGGATACAATGATGGAACAATGCTCGTTTGAAGTCTTCAGGATGCCTAGGTTGTAAGAACTGCCAAATTTTAAAGTCGCATGCACCTATTCTTGCAAACCCCCGGCCCCCCAAAAAGATCAATTCAGAGAAAGCCAACATCAGCAAACAAAAAACCCTGTAATGCAAGATGTATTTTACCATAGCTGTTTCTAGGATTTCTGGAGATGGAGTACAGGTATGAAAGAAGGTAACAAATGCCATTGTCGCTTCAATCCTGCTGATTTCTCTCTGATCAAACCTATGTTTCAAGAATCTAAGTGCATCTGGAGTACCAGCGGCAGCAGCTAGTTGCACGATGAGGTGTCTACAAGAAAAGAAGCAGCAATCAAGTCTGAGCTCTGATCACTTTAATTTAGATCTTATTCAATTATGCTTTTCAAGCATGAAAAGCATAACACACTTCCTCTGTTATCTTACCTGAGTGTTGGCTCATTGGCATGTTTTCTAAAGAGCGAATCTAAATATTTTGTATCGTTCATGTCACGCACAAGTTCGATAGCCTGCAGGTATTTAATTGCACCATCTCTTGGAAACTTTGCATTTGGGTGTCCTGCCAAATACTGCAATCTTTCCTCAATCTGTTGGATAGATTTTTAAAAAAAAAAAAAAAAAGAGAGCATTGTCAGGTATTGTTTAACGCCTCAGGCAAAGAGCACTGGTATGTTGCAAAGTTCCATTTGCATTACCATTTTTAAAACTTACTTCTCTCTCTACGTTGTTGCTCTTTATCAATGGAATAGGAAGAGGAGGAAGTTCATAATTAAACCTGTAGGTAAGTGAGCCCCATCTCTTCAAGTCAGAAGGGACATGCGGCAAGTGGCCATGCATATCGATGAATACCATTTTAAGCCTAGTGTGGAAAGACCCAATGAAATTTAGTGAGCAAATAGTAAATATAGAAAGCTGTTGTCTCTTGGCTTTGCAATAATAATAATAATAATTTCCTTTTGCAGCAGAAAAAACAGGACCAAACTAGCAAATATAGTATGCAAATTTAAAATGCTTCTTTACTTGAAGGTGGATCTGACCTTCGGATTATGAAGATTTGCTGAATTTAAACACATAATGGGTAATACTCAATCTTAGTCATATCTGTTGACTTCTACAAACTTTTGCATATTCATTTCAATGGGTGTACTGTTCTTTTAAAGAAACCCTTGTTTATTTATTAATATGAAACACAGTCCTAAAAAAGGGAAGCACCCATATCAAGTACAAGAGAACTACCCCTACCCCTCAAAAAGAAGACATTCAGGAGAAAATCAGTGCAGCGTCCCCAATCCAGATTAGGAGCTTGTTCCAGATTGGGGCATCAGGGCTCCTTTTTCTCCAAAATAAAACCAGGCAAGCTAAGCACATGTTTAAACATGGACTGCTATCACATGTACTTTGGCCTGAAGAGATTTTTTCACTACCGCACTGTGATTTTCCAGGATTCTCCTATTCACTGGGCTTCCACACTTTAAATTACTGTATACCTTTTTAAAAAACAAATTATATTTGTTATGGTTTTTATATGTGTGCATATGTTTCAGATTTATAGCTAACCATGACACTCCAGGGAAATCCATAGGTTTATGGAAATGAAATGCTGGTAGACAGTGAGACTACTCTTAAGGAGTTTGACTAGGTAATTTGGGATGATGAATTTAGGGTTGCCATTTTCTCATTTTTCATTAGGAAACCAACAAAATGGTCGAGCTATTTGTTTAGGAACCTAACTCAAAAATAGCGAAAACCCGAAAACCGGTACATGTCAGGAATTTTTCTGAAATATGGCAAGCCTAACGAATTGATAAATTGAAAAGCATTTGTAAAAAGGGAGCAGTTATACAAAGGTACGGTACCTGGCCTCCATGATGCCTGTTGCTCCACTAAGCTCATTGAATGGTGCGAACTCACGGATTTCCACACCTTCGACCTGCATAATTGTTCTCTCGTTGTCTCCCTTTTGTGCATCCCTAAATCTGTACTTGAATGTAGCTGAGCCTTGGAAAGGTTTGACTTTCTGTATGAAAACAGGCAGCGGTAAGTCATATATAAGAATTTTTAACATAATCATAGCAAGTCCAGAAATCATCACACATAGGGTTGTACCCAATGCTGGGTCCATGCAGAGCAAACACATGGACCGTAATGGGCACACGGCTAATTTATACCCATTCATTTCAATTGGTCCAATCTGATGAGGAGAACTTGTTTGGATACAACCAGTGCGTTCAAGGATGTGTATTGTCGGCACCTCTCTTTTTTTGGTTAATAAAGTGTGACACTTATAGTAGCCACTTCATGTATTTTCTAGAAAAAAGCACTGGATACAACCCAATCAATATTATTTTACATTAGCAATCTCTATAGTTGCGTTTGGCAGCTAGCAGACCACAGAATCTATCCAGGCACCTGATGCCCAATAGATCTCTATTGGATTACTTGGTCAAGTGATTGGGTGGGGAGGAGACAGAGAGAAAAGGAGAAAGAAAAGAACAAATGGATTGTCCTATCAGAAAATAATATTGTTTCTGAGCCCACCCCCCACCCCTTCTCCCTCTGCTCTCCACTCCACCAGTCATTTAGAAGAAAAAAAGTGGAGATGAAAAAATGGTACAAAGTAAATTATATGTAACATGGCCATCTGGGTCACTGACAAGGGTCCTGTAGACCTCTTTCTCCTCTTCACCTTTGCAACCAACTTGACTGCCTCCCTCTGTGGTTTATGCTTTCCAACTCAGGCATGAATGGCACATGCAAACAGCTGCATAGATTGGTTGCAGTGCAATGCAACATTGCAACTGCTCTACATGGGAACCCATGTGTGTCTAACTATATGGTACCAGCAATTTTACCACATCATTGCCCCCATCCCCACCCACCTAGCAGCTTGTGATCTCATGTTAAAACTGCTTGAACAGAATGGCAAATCCTGCAAATGAATGGCTTGCAACAGAGGTCAGCATCCATGCAACTGTCTGCAAATGAACAACCAGTCGTGGATCTTCTTGCAAATGTGAACAGGACCACAGATGATATAGTTATATACGCACAACCCCCATACTAACCTGTTGACAGGCTTCACATGGAGTAACATGCGACGCACCAAAGATCTTGAAAGCAGCGTTGTCACAGTCGTTTAAGTCCATGGACTTGGTCATGAAGATCTCATCGGCTTTTACAGCATTTTGAACAAGGTATGTTGTGTTGCACCTCCCCCAAATACTATTCTGTAAAACGAATAAATAAATCAGATTGGCAGGTTTATTGAGAGAATATTGGTCTTCTTGTGAAATTGCCTTAAATAACCTTACTCTAACTCCTTTAATGACCCTCTCAGTTTTTCTTATATCCTTCCCCCCCTCCCCTTACACACATTTCTCATCAAAAATTCCAATGCAGGTTTCTACTGAAAGATCACTGGCAAACCCCGACGGACTTCAGTGAAGCCATGGCTTGTCCCACTGGGAAGTTCTTTATTCAGTTCCAATTAGGGCTTATTGTATATGAAGGATAATTTGAAAATTTTAATAAAAAATGTGGTGAAATAATTTGATCAGTCAGAATGAAACCTCAAAAGCAAGAGATTTCAGAGTCGGGGCTGGCTCTTTGCCCCTAAAAATCCCATTACACCTAATCTACAACTCACACAATCCTCTCTTAGAATCCTTAGAAGCAGATGTGCCATGAAAGCAGCAATAATTAAGCACCACTGAAGAACTGAGGAACCTTAACTCTCTTTTCTTACATTAGCAGGTTTCACTCAGATCTATAACATCACGACATGATTTTGTATTCATCAGAAGTGCAATATCAGTATACGCGCGGAGTTTTTACCAAGTTTGAATACTGTTTTTCAAAGTGTTTCAAGTCTGGAGTGCCTTCCATATGCCTTATGCTCGGCCGTTAGCTAATGAGCAAATTTGCACCCTGCAAATCAGATCAGTCTCACAAACTAGGAACTCAACATTAAATGAAAGGATGGGGGAAGAGCTTGCACTGGAAGAACATGCCGGCACTTCATGCAGTTCAAAATGTGTGACGTTTGGCCCTTGAAGCATTTCCCACCCTTGCCCCTTCCCAAAACAAGCTTCTTGTGGGTGAGTAACCATAAGTAGGGACATCGCATTGGCCACACAGAACACCTTGGCAAGCTGTGATCACAGTCATTTATGTCATTAGGCTTGATCATTAAAATCTCATTGCCTACTTCTCCTCGAACTGTTTATCAGGTGATATAAATGATAATAAGCTACTTAATGCTGATATCATGCAACAAAATAAAAAATAAACTCTAAAACTGTACAGCTAACCCTGGTATCACCTGGTTTGCCTGCATTAAGTCAAAATGATTTAAATGGAAGGAATTCAAAATTGGCAACCAAAATAACAAAGGACCTGGATCAAACCACTCTGAGAAAAAGGCTACAACATTTGGGGCTTTTTAGTTAAGAAAAAGGCAAGTAATTTTTTTTGCGGGGGGGGGGGGGCGGCAGCAATGAAAGAGGTATATACCATTATGCATTGACATGGAAAGAGAGAATTTGTTCTCCCACTTTTATAATATGAGAATCTGAGGCAAAGCTGAATGATGGGAGATTCAGGAGAGACAAAAGGAATAACTTTTCCCCCACATAGGATCAGGTAACAGATGTCACATGCCATTGTCTGATGCCTACTTAGGGCAATGGGAAGCGTGGAGAAAAAATAGGATGGCTATAAAACTAGGCACAATGTGATACAGGGACAGAATATTGGTCGCAGTTTCCAAACCAATTTCCTAAATTAAATATTACTGTATTAAAGTATTTGTTTTCTAAATTAAAGCAACCCTATTCTAAATTTCATACCAAAAAATAATTTCAAACGTTTTCAAATATCAACATCTGAATCAAAATTGGCTTGATTAATGTAAATACGGGACTGTGGAAGTGAAATTAACTGTAGTCTGTAGTCAGGATTTCAATATGAGCCAAATTACAATTTAACACAGTGCAGTCCTGACATCACTCTATTGCAAGCTTATCCCCAAGGCAGTTTTAACTTGGCCAGATTTATTTTGTAGGAGATTAGGTATTCTAAAGGTAATTTGATCATCTGCAACTGCAAATAGAAATTATGGTGTGTGTGTGTGTGTGTGTGTGTGTGTGTGTGTGGAATGACCACATCATTTGATCATTATGATCTAAACCAGAGCTAAGAAGTTTATCTGTTGACTCCAGTTCATTCTTTGAATTCAAGTACATGAGCCTCATTTTAGGGGTGGAAGTTTGACTCCTGCTTATTTCTATATATTTATAATCCATATTGGTCTATTAACTTTGTTGTAGTATTGGAGGAATATGATGTAGTTAACGTCAACAGCGATGTGCTGGTTCAAATATGAGCTACAAACTCAGCAAGTAGCCTTAAGTAAGACACATTCTTTCAGTTTACAGCTGCTCCCCACCCACCCACAAACTATTATATTGAAATAAACTGGCCAGTCTTACAGCTATTGAAAGGACTGCTGATAAAATGTAAGTGAAGTTCTTTGAAATTCTCAGGAATAGAGAGAATACGAATAAAAATAGCATATAATCGTAAGTGCCTAGTGTGAAAATAAAAGCCACAGTGCTATAAATGCAACGGAAATTAAAAGTTCACCTCTCTTAAGTTGTAGCTTTTCTGGTCTAGCTTCATGGAATATTGCAGGTTGTTCAGAAGTCCTTTGTAGACTCCAAGTTTATATTCTGAGAAGTGTCCTGAAGCCATGATGTCATCAACAAAGCCTTTCCTGTGGCGAAATGTAACTATGCCAGGTAAGTCTTCCTCAAACATCTTGGTCAGCTTGGATGACTGCTTGAAGTCCTGCTGTGGCTGGATGCCATTGAGCTCAAGCACTTCAACGCTATGAAGCTGTCACACACACAAACAAAGAGTAAATTTTGTGTTATTTTCTACCTCCCTTTAGAATCCATGTAGGTTATTTAAACGGCAGTCTTCAAAACAACACCTTCTCAAAACAACACAAATTAGAGCTTAAATGTTTTCCGCCTAGCATCTATTTCACCACATGTAAACTACACATTCATGTTAATAGCAGGACTTCATTATTACATGTGTAAGATTCTTTTTACTGTATCTAAGGCTAGCCATTTGAAGTCGGAAGCCTAAAAGAATGCTGAAGTGACGCTAACGAAGCCATTTTAGTTCCACTGACTTGACCTTTAAGAGTTTTCAAGAACACTACAAGTGAAGACAAATGTAGTATGATAATAGGACCCTTCCCCTTTGCCAAGAAGCCAGTTTTGTCATGGGCTGACAGGCTGATCAGCTAACCAAAGCAGTCTTGCTGCTTCCTCCTGTTCCTTAGTTCTCTCACTTGCCACCACTCCTATTGCAGCTTCTTGCATCTCTACCATCTGGGGAAAGTTAGCAATGGTACAGACATTCAGGTCTCTGGAATGGAAATGGCATTGTCTTAGACCCTTTGCTACAGACATTATGTTAACTTCCACCATCAGAAAGGAAGGAGAAAGTGGATGCAGTGAAAGTGAGTGAGTGAGCAGAGTGGGTCAAGTCTGGTGTGCTGTTATTATTACTGAGAAGGAGTGCTTTGAATATGTGAACCGACTTTGAACCCTACTCTTGTATCATGTCTTGTCTTCAGCCTAGAGCAAGCCCACATAATTTCCAACCCAGAAGGGTTTACAAAGCTTTCTCTATGTGTAGCCAGGGTATGACATGAAGTGAATCTAGGGTAGGATAACAGGGTTACGTCTGGCACCAGGACAGGATGACAGGGAACAACGGGTTCTGCTGCAAACCTATGAGGAAACCCTTTCTCACTTTCACCCCTGCAATTTCAGTAGGAAAAGGCAGCAAAGGTTTTCATGCTGCATTCGTTATTTTTAAAAGATATTTAAATGTCACCAGATTGCTCAAAATATGCAGAGTGGTGCATAGAATATCATTTGCACTCTGCAGGTACTGAAGTAGCCACATGAAATTAAGAATTGTCAATATTCAATGACATCCCACTTTGTTAGAAAATGCATTAGTCTTTGTTTATTAGTTACAACCATCATTTGATTAAATAATTTTCAAGGCATCACAGTTTGAGAACAATTGAATTGATGCCACAATAAAATTATTGTGCATCTGAAATTACATCCTATTGTCTTTTTGACCACTAAGCAGAATAAATCCTTCAAGCCTGAGTTTGGCTTGAGCTGACTGAGAATTGCCTGGTAATGTGCGAAAAGGAATTTCGCTCATCGCATAAATAATAATACTGTTAGGTGAGGTCTATGCAAGTTGCATGACAAAATTGAATTATTTCCCCCTCAACTTTAAAAACTCACAGAGAAAGTTAGCTTTCAAGACTGAAAAAGTTCCCTTACCTGTAGAACTTTACGGTCTGGTGCAATTTGGCCAATGGCAATTTTACATTTTAATTTCAGTCCAGAGCTTCCTGCACCTTTTCCTGGGAGTCTGATTGTATTTTGAAATTCGACTGCATATGTGGCAACATCACCTTCAGTTTCTGGAGGGAGGGAAATCCAAAGAAATATTATAGGCAACATGTGAAAAATATCACGTCAAATATTTCTAAAACTGCCAAAAAGCTTTCAAAATTGCGTACTTCTTTTTTAGATACTTACGTTTTTGTTGCTGACAACCTGAAAGATAAAAAATAAAGTTAAAACAGAGGAAATGCATTTGTTCCATGAATATTTGTACTCATGTTTTTTTGGGAATACATAGGCATGAAATCTTTGTAAACTGCTTAGTTAAGCTTATTTACAGTTAAGCATCTTACAAATTGTGCCAAAAAAGAGGTGTTTTTTTTTTAAAAAATGTTGTTTTATTCATGCAAACCTTTTAGGTATTTTCCATTTACTGATAAGAATTTTAAGTTCACACTCAGTCACACTCAGCGAAGACAAGACACATTGAAATTAGTGGATGTGACTAAGGTACTGTACTTTTCTGTGTATAAGACTAGGTTTTTTTCCTTTAAAATTATGTTAAGAAAAGGGGGGGACACCTTATACATGGGGCAATTTCCTCCCATTTTCTTAATTTGGAGTCCCCCAAAATAGGGGGCGTCTTATACACAGGGGTGTCTTATACTCGGAAAAATACATTATATCCATTGATTTTAATAGGTCTGCTCTGAGACAGACTTAACTGAATACCACCCACTGATTTCAATGGGTCTGAGTTGGAATGAGCCAAAATGAACCACATCCCATTATTTGCTATAATAGAGAGCTATGAAACAAGCACGGTACAGTGGTACCTCAGGTTAAGAACTTAATTCGTTCTGGAGGTCCGTTCTTAACCTGAAACTACTTTAGCTAATGGGGCCTCCTGTTGCCGCTGCGCCGTCGTCATGCGATTTCTGTTCTCATCCTGAAGCAAAGTTCTTAACCCGAGGTACTATTTATGGGTTAGCGGAATCTGTAACCTGAAGTGTCTGTAAACCGACGTACCACTGTACTGTTTTACATTTGAAATTTCTATAACACTTTCCCCCCAGCATTTCTGATAGATAGTACCTATCTATACTTACCCACAAGGGTCAATGCCAGTGCTAGAATTAAGGCCTTCATCATGGATGAGGAAGGTACAGCTGAATGGGTTGCTGCCACTTTTATAGTGAGGGATATTCGGTCACATGATTATCTTGGACATCTTTTTTGATGAACCAGCATATTTTGGGTACATTATTGATTGGCCAAGCAAACAAACATTGCTTGGGTCAGAAAGAGATATTACAAAACCATGGCAGGACTTTGCTCAAATATATGTTTGATGTAAACTAAGAAAGCAAAATTCTAATAAATTATAGTTATGGGAAATAAAATGGTACAGATTTAATAAAAACAGTCATATCTAAACTTTAAAAAGGAGAGGGGTGAGTTCAAAGCTATCTGTTTTGCTAGACTGATGTTAGTGCATATCATCAAATATGTTCCTTGGAAGATGCCCAGAGTAGCTGAGGCAACCTAGTAAGATGGCTAGGGCATAAGAAATTTATGATTATGATTATGATTAAAAATATTATTCCTGTATCTACACACACCAGGTTTAAAGTTCAGTGTAATACTGGGGTGTGTGTGTGGTGTGTGTGTGTGTGTGGATGCTTTTTGTATATGTCAGAAATTAAGAACTTCAAATAATTCTGAGAGTTATTATTCATTACGTAGGAAGATGCCTTATACCGTAACAGCTGCTTATTGAGCTGAGAAGCAGAGAGAGAAGAAAGTTTCTCCAGCTGCTGATTGATTTAGAATATGAATGGAAGCCCACTGGGTTTCTGAAGCCCTTGAGTCTGAACTTGAGCTTCTATTTATTGGAGGGTCTATCCAGCAGCTGCCTCTCCTCTGTAATGATATTATTACATTTACTCAGAGTTGTGTCACCTATCTACAGGAATAATGAAGGCGGTTATTGCCGTGCAAGTTCACCTGAATTCTGCTGAGCGTGTGAACCAGTCAGCTATGCAAAATAAAAAGGAAGCACATTTGCAGTGTATTATCAAGAGTGCCATTCAGCTTCGCAACAGCTATGCTCTGAAAGCATGAAAATTGCACGGATTGTTCAAAGATGGAGCTACTAGAGTGCCTCGTTGCTGGAGGTGAATAAGTGGACAGTGAAGGAAGGCAGTATAAAGAACATGAGGGGAAGATGCGAAAACATGGAGTAAAACTTTGGGAAGCATCTAAAAATCAATAATTATAATTTGGATTATAATTTGGTCTTTTTTATTTTAGTTTTTTATTTTAATTGGATTATGATTGGATATATTAATTGGATGTTTTTATTGGAAAATTAATAAAAATGATTTAAAAGAAAAATAAAAATAAAACATGCGTAGGCAAACTAAGGCCCGGGGGCCAGATCCAGCCCAATCACCTTCTAAATCCAGCCCACAGACGGTCTGGGAATCAGTGTGTTTCTACATAAGTAAAATGTGTGCTTTTATTTAAAATGCATCTCTGGGTTATTTGTGGGGCATAGGAATTTCATTCATTCTCTCCCCCTCCCCAATATAGTCCAGCCCCCCACAAGGTCTGAGGGACAGTGGACCGGCCCCCTGCTGAAAAAGTTTGCTGTCCCCTGATCTAAAAGTAGCTAACTCTGTGATACCCCTCTTAGATTTATGGTGACAAGCATCCCTTCAAGTGGGGATGGGGACAGGGATAGACAAATCTCCCATGGTGTGTCTCATTCCTCTCTGCTACTGCGATTGAGTACTGCTCTGTGTGGTGTTCACAGTGTGGCTTGGAGCTCCAGGCACTCCCTCTATTTTGCTCCCGACATGATTCTCCCCACACCAAGATATGCAAAATGTGAGCGCCTACCAACTCCATGCCCTATGGCGTTGTTAATGCAGTGCTTCTCTTCCCATGTTCTTGCCGCACCCTTCGGCTGCTTGTCAGAGGAGAGTTCCTCCCTGGGTAGGACTTGAACCCTTGTCCTTGGAGGGCTGTGTGCGCCTTGCACATGGAGTTGGGGGCTCTGTTATGTGCCTCGAAAACCATCCTTGTGAGTAGCATGAGGGGATTTGAACCCATGTCTATCAGTATGCCTGGGGACTTGCAGTAGAGAAATTGTTCCTGGATGTACCACTGGGACTGATGGAGGTTTAGCATTGTCTTGCATGTTATGTGTGTGGTGATGCAAGGGAAGATGTGCTTACTGTAACGAGCTCATTGGCTGCTTCTGTCTGAGGTTTCACTGTCAGCACAGTCCCTGATTGGTGGGCACTGGCAGAGTTTCCAGGGACTGTGCTTCTTGTCACTTCCCCACCATTTTGGAATGTGGCTTCTCCATTGGATATGGCGGCTTCTCCAACCCTGCAGCAGGGCTATATATCCCATCATGTAATAATAAGTATAGAACTGCTCAGTCAAGGAACTATTATAATGATAATACATAAGTAATTCACAATTATTATTTTTTTTAAAAAACGCTTGGAGGACAAAAATGAAGCATGGTTGCTCGTGAATTTATCAAAGAAAGAATGTAGAACTTCACGGTGCTACTGTTTAAAAAACAGCTCAACCGCAATGCACCCAATATGTGAACACAATTGCCCATAATTTCAACACATGAAGGTGAGAGTAAAATAATACATGATGCCTGTATATGCTTATGAGGGTTGTGGTGCAACACAGGTGGATGATTTGGATTTAGAAAGTGCTTTCTCCATAAATGAAACATGAATAAACCTGATGAGAATGATCCCTTCTACTATTGTTGTCCTTCCATAGCATATTCTTCTCTCGTAACAGGAGTCTTATTATCTGTTGCTGGATTGCCACCAAGAGCCCCGAAGTCTCCATGTTTTATATTCACATTGTTAAATTATGGTGCAGTGAGACCATTTTCATACTGTTCATATAATGCCAAACAACAAAGCAGGGATTAGGAAAATAACTCTCAAACAAAGAAACAAAATGCTTGCATGGATGCAGATAGTTAAGCACTGAGAGTTTATTTATCCTGTTTCTAAAGAAGGGTTAAAATATTGTCTGTTTTTCATTCACTGTTCCCAGGACTTATAAAATTCTAATCTCATTGCTTTTGTGGATTAGGATAGGCCCTATCATGAGGCAATGTGAAGCAGCACCTCAGGCAGCAGGTACTGAGAGACGGGGAGTGGGCAGACCATTGTATGCTACATAGCCTTCCCTGAACCCTCTAAGATTCTTTCTCCTTTATTAGGAGACAGATGGGGAATCCTACCCTGTTGGTTCTCCTCGACCTTCCAGTGCTTTTGACCATGGGGCTCTTCTGGAGGGACTGAATGAGGTAGAGTTGGAGCTACTGTATTCCAGTGGTTCTGTTCCTACCTGCTGGATTGCTACTGGAAAATAGTATTAGGAGATTGTTGCTCAGCTACATGGCTTTTGGGCTGTGTGGTCCGCAAAGGGTCCATTCCGTCTCCTATGCAGTTTAACATCTATATGAAACCACTGGGAGCTCTCATTCAGAGGTTTGGAGTACAGTGTCATCAGTATGTTGAGAGCATGCATTCCCATGTCTCCATTCCATCTGAATCAGGAGGTGCTGTGAAGGTGTTGGACAGGTGTCTGGAGGCAGCGATGGACTGTATGGGGGCCAATAAACTGAAGAGGAATCATCATGATAGCCACGGGGCTATGCCAGCATATCATTCTGACACACAAAGCAGGCCATATGGTAGCCCTGGTGCTGAACAAGGAGTTGTTAGTAGTTGTGGAGGTAGGAATGTCCCCATTCCTAGATCATTTTCTGATGAAATTTAGATGGATCTAAATCTCTCTGGAAGGGACACGGGTGGCGCTGTGGGTAAAACCTCAGTGCCTAGGACTTGCCGATCGTATGGTCGGTGGTTTGAATCCCCGTGGCGGGGTGAGCTCCCGTCTTTCGGTCCCAGCTCCTGCCCACCTAGCAGTTCGAAAGCACCCCTAAGTGCAAGTAGATAAATAGGTACTGCTTTATAGCGGGAAGGTAAACGGCGTTTCCGTGTGCTGCGCTGGTGCTGGCCACGTGACCCGGAAGTGTCTTCGGACAGCGCTGGCTCCCGGCCTCTTAAGTGAGATGAGCGCACAACCGTAGAGTCGGACACGACTGGCCCGTACTGGCAGGGGTACCTTTACCTTTAAATCTCTCTGGAAAGGATAGTGTATCAATTAAATTCTCACCCATCATTCTTGCTCCTGAAAAAAGGCCTCCTTTGAACCAGGTGATTGCAACAAGTGTTGCCAATCACAAATATCACCCTTTTTATGAAGGTGCTCAAGTGGATGCTGGCCATCTTCCTTCAGACTCTGTGGGATGAGATGGATATTTGAGACCAATTTGAATCTTCTTGTAGGTACCTGGTTTTGGTACCAAAGCAACTTTGACCATGCTGATAGATGGCCTCTACTAGGAGAGAGACAGGGGGAGTGTGACACTTCTGATTCTCCTTGACCTCTTAGCAGCTTTTGATAACAGGGACCACTGTACAGTGGTGCCCCGCAAGACGAACGCCTCGCAAGACGGAAAACCCGCTAGACGAAAGGGTTTTCCGTTTTGGAGGCGCTTCGCAAAACGAATTTCCCTATGGGCTTCCTTCGCAAGACGAAAGCCCATAGGGAAATCTCCGGGACAGCGGGGAAGCGCAGCGCGTCTTCCCCACTGTCCTCGGACCTCCTCCGAAGCTGGGTGGCGGGGCGGGAACACCTCCTGCCGCCGCCCGGCTTTGGAAGGCTCCTCCGAAGCCGGGTGGCGGGGCGGGAACACCTCCCGCCGCCGCCTGGCTTCGGAAGGCTCCTCCGAAGCCGGGCGGCGGGGCGGGAACACCTTCTGAAGGCCGGCGGGGGGCAAAAGTCTTTGTTCCCCCCTGCCTGCTTTCCCGGGAGAGCGGAGAAACGCAGTGCGTTTCTCCGCTGTCCCGGAAGGCTTTTGAAGGCAGGCGGGGGGAGCAAAGACTTTCGCCCCCCGCCCGCCTTCAGAAGAGGTCCTGGACCTCTTCTGAAGGCTGGTGGGGGGCAAAAGTCTTTGTCCTCCCTGCCTGCCTTCCCAGGGGCTTTTAAATCGCCCCGGACAGCGGAGAAGTCCTCCGCTGTCCCGGGGC